GGGGGGTTTTGCAGGAGTTAGTGAGTTAACATACATAAAACACCTAATACAGTGCTTAGCACATAGAAGGAGCTCAATAAGGTTGAGTTCCCATCCACTTAACATACTTCAGGCCAAAGAGGTTCTATGAAGTAGTGGAAAGGACTTTGTTTGTTTGTTTGTTTGTTTACAATCTTGCTTTCTTCTGCAGAGTAGGTGTTTATCTTGTCTTATGTGTCCCAATGCTATCTTGAACTGTTCATCATGTACTACCAGAAGAGGTATTGATTAGCCTTGGAGGATTTGAGGAGCTGGCCATTGGGATGGAGTTTAATAAGCATTGCCTTCAGAGCACTTATATGAGTACACTACCCCAGAGATCAATTAACTACAAATCTGTGAAGTTTGGATAATACATTTCTTTCTCTTTCAAAAGAGACCCTCAAGGGCAAATGTAATGAAACATCTCCAAGGAGAGGGAAAAAGATCTCTCTCAAATCCCCCCTGCAATCCCAGCTTTGAAACACTTCCAAAATGACCCCAAATGCAGATATTAGCAGATACCAGAAATGCAGAATCTTTCTTAAAGATTACATCCTTACTTTTCTCTCTGTGTAACTTTTCCCTCCACTTTTCTGCCCAAACATACGTTCTATGCACCAATTGGATATTTTGATCTTTGATGAACAAACAAGCCTCAAGCTTGCTTTCCAAACTCATTAGCGCTTTGGAGATTGGAAGCAGGTACCAAAGCCTGATTAAACTCCTTCCAAAGCCAAACTCAAGACAAGTATCAGCTAAAGGACAGACAGAACCAGAGGGAGAGGGTGAGTACAGTCATTCATCTTTTACTTTTTGTCTTCATGCCCATATTAATCTCACTTTATAGAACACCCTAGATCTACAAGCCCATATAGATGACCAAGGCATTCTTTGAATTTCTGTTTTTCTCCATGTACCTCTCAATTCTATCTGTCTTACCCCAAATTCAGCCCCAGTCTTACCTTACTGCTCTGTTGATGGGCCTCCTGAACCATGTTTGACCCCTTGCAACTAGGGAGGAGATTTAAGAATAAGTGAAATTTCTGAAGGAATTGCTATGCCCCTAAACACAGCCCCAATTATTAGTAAATAGTCTGAAAAGTGATTTGGAAGGCTTATAATCTGGGCAGACTTTACATAGCAGATTTTCCAAATACTGCAGAGACCTCTAATATCTAAAATACCTCCTTCTTTTTTCTGACTGATGGCTTGAATTTTACCATCTGAATATGAATTCTTGGATTAAAGTCTTGGTACCTTTTGAATTCTCACCTTACGTTGAGAGGGACTCTTTCAGCTCCATTAACCATTTGTACATTCGGATGAGGGACAGACCTAGAAGAGCAAGACCTTGAGGGGACAGGTTCCTGAAGAAGTGAGAGGAGGAGGCATCATGAAGTGAAGGACAGAGCCCAGATCAGACGTGATGGGGAAATCACAGAAAACCCACACCAACTCCATAGTTTGGCTGAGTTTTTCCTTGTCATTATTCCATTTTTTTTCTTCCATCACGAACTGCATCTGTTAAGCTCAACCTAGGCAGATTTTGTTATACAATTTAACACTTGCCATTTTTGATAAATGATGGGCTGAGTCATAAATCAACTCTACCAGGTCCCGTCAATTCCTGAATGTCTTCTATGTGCAAGGTACTATGATAGGTGCTTAATTTTACTGTATTATTGTATCTTCACTATGGCCTTGAAGGCTAGGGTCATTCACAAAGAGGCATCTGCAGCATCTACTAATCCAATAAGGTCACTGAGCCTCTCAAACTCTCCTTCTTCAGCTCTGTGAAATAGGCCTGGTGTTGATTATACCTGTATCATAGGATTGTAGGGGGACCAGACTCAGGCCAATCTGAGCCTCTCTGAGTTTGCTGCAAGAGTGAAGATTTCCTTTCTGAAAGGAAGAAGCACCTCTTCGTGAGCAGAGTTTAGTGACATAAAGTACTCCACACAACTCTTAATATACTTTCATTTAATGTTCTAGGATAAGATTCAGAGAATCCGTATGTGGGAATAAAACCATGGATATTCTTTTGCTTTTATTTCAATTTGTTCAGCTTCACTTTCTGTTTCTGAAGTTGGAAAATTTCATCCTTAAATAAGGAAGTTCTCCACCCTAATGGCAACATTCAAAATAGACTGTCAGTTGACCCATCAACTCCAGATGATTAAATTCTTCAATCTCACTCTTAAACACTTTTTACAAACCTACATGGTCCATCAGTGAACTCCTTATTTCTGTAAAATAAGCACACTTCAACCTACCACAGAAGAAGGAAGTGTTTCCAAAATAAGGTTAAGTTTCATGAATAATTCTTTATGGAATATTCACTGCTGATAGCAATCACAATCTCAATTTATTAAGCAAACATCCTATCTCAAGACCTATGAGCTTTTCATGCATTATCTTAAGCAATCCTCAAACAACTCTGTTAAGTAGTCACTGTTATCCCCATTTTACAAATGGAGAAATTGAAGCTCAAAAAGGCTAAATGAGTTGCCCAACATCCCACAGCTGGCAAGTGGCAGAGACAGGATTAGAACCAGGCTTGTCCTGAAGCATACCAGGAATATTAGGCACCAACTTATGCCCTTTCCCTTTCTGCTAACCTGAATAGGTGCCCCAAATGACCTTGAATCACATCACAGACCTCAGATCTCTACCTTGCTAAATGGCTGACCCTACACAGAATGGATGAGGGCTCCACCAGAGCTGTTTTTGTTTAGCTCCCAATTTCTCCATGTGGCTCCAGATCTTCACTAGGTTATGTCAAACTTTGCTGCAGGTCCTTTTCTTTTCTTCAAAAAAAAGAATCCTCTCCTGACCCTGAGTAGTCTACACACCTGTCACAAACAGGTGCATAACCTCTAAACACAGGTTAAGTCTTAAAGCCATATATTTACAAGACTGGAACTAGTGTGAGAGGTCTCGGAAACTCTGTACAAATGATGGCATGGTGATGGCTAAAAGGAGCTTCACATTCTCTTATTAGCCAAATTTGAGAGTTTTAGCACTGAAAAATCTGTAGCAGGAGCTATTGGGTGGGAAGAGAGTGGGCTCTAATTCCAAGGGCATCTCGCTGTGCAGTTTCTGAGAAGAAAGTTAAGAAGGTCAATGAGACCTTGACTGACTGGCAGTGGGTAGCTATACATTGATTTATGAAAAACTGGGGATATTAAAATGAAGTGGCTCACCTAAATTGAGCAAGAAAAAATCATAGCAAATAGAGAAAGTGTTACTTCCCAAATTGTGAAGTCACTGACTTGGAATGATTTCTATAATATATGTAAGTTGTAGAGGGTCTATGATACATACAGCCACACACACATATATATACTTGCACATGAAAGGCATACATCAAAATGTTACGAGCTGTTATTTCAGGAGAAAGATGTCATAATTTCTGGTTTCAAGGGGTTTTTTGCATTGATCAGAAACTGCCCACGATTTTTAGGTTCAATATTTCACAGTTGTTTATTGATCAAATTATTTTACAGTTCTCAGATATTGCTTTAAAATTCATAAAATAACATTTCTATTTTGAAAAATAAAATGAGATTTGTGAGACTCACTTGTATTTTAATAGATAAGTAGAATAGGCTAAAAATATGGTTTAAGAGATGGGGTAATTTTTCTGATTTCTAAATTGTTTGGGTTAAAATCTTAAGAAGGATCAAGATATATTCTAAATCTTTAAGGGTCATTCACCGTGAGTCACCAGGCCCTCTGATCACACTCTTCCTAGTGCCTTCTGCAGAGACAAGACCTCAGCTTCAGAGATCTACTGACAGCAAGAGTTCTCTTCTGCTTTATGTGGATTGAGACTTAGTGTGGATGTGTGAGGGGGTGATGGGAATTCTTATAGGTGTGGATTGGATGAAATCAAGTCTCTGATCTTGAAAGATGCTTCATACGCTGAAAATTATAAGAATTTGATTGAGGATACTTTGTAATTTAGGTTTTTAGACAACAATCACAATAACAAACACTTGTAGAGCACTAACTATGTGCCAGGCATGTCCTAAAGGAGATTTAAGAAAGGAGGGAAGGAAGAAAGGAGGGAAGGAGGGAAGGAAGGAAGGCAGGAAGGCTGGAAGGAAGGAAGGAAGGAAGGAAGAGAGGGAGGGAGAATTGTAATAACAAAGTGCTATTCTTATCTCTAATTTTACAGAGAGTCATCGAGAGTCCAAGTGACCTGCCCAAGATCAAACATCTATTAAGTGGTAAAGCTGGGAATTAAATCCAGGAAGTCTAAATCCAGAGTCCACATTCTTAAGAATTAAACAGCTTAGAGAGCTCAGAGTGAAGACAAATTTGAAACTGAAAGTATGCTAGTATATTGAGATCTAGTATTTGAAAATTAAGAGCATTTCTAACACATCTGGTGTAATCCTTTGGATTAAAAATATTCTAAATGTCTGATTGATTGTTTCACAATTACATACCTGAAGCTGGTCCCTCCCTTGGTTTCTCCATTCCAATACTGAAACTTAAATAAAGTTAGATGAACAGTTATTCCAGGGCATGATGCGACTCATCTGAACACACAAAACTGTCCAAATAATAACATTAACTAGGGACTTACTATGTGTCAGGAACTTTACATACTTTGCCTTTTCCAATTCTTAAAATAAATATGTGACATTGGTACTGTCACCTGTTTTAAAGAGAAAGAAATTGAAGTCTAGAGAGGTTAGATATATCACCCAAAGTGACACAGCTACTAAATGGTAGAGGCATAGGAAGTCTGAATCCAGTTTAAGCTCATATCAACCACACTATATTACATTAAAAAACAAATATTTAAAACAATGACTACTATTGCCTTCTGAGAGAAAGAGAGAGAGAATCTTTTCATAAAGTTGTAACCCTCTGTAATACTCTGCCCTCCCTCTCACGTATTTTGTAATTATTTGTTGATACCACCCATAATGGGGATTGTCATTATTCTCCCAGGTCTGCATCTTGTCCTTGCAGTCCATGGGAAACATATCCACAACTAAAGCCTGGAACAGCTCGTCAGTGTCCATGTTCATCTTCCTAGGGTTTGCAGACCATCCAGAACTCCAGGCCCTCCTCTTTGTGACCTTCCTGGGAATCTATCTCCTGACCCTGGCCTGGAACCTGGCCCTCATCTTTCTGATCAGAAGTGACACCCGTCTGCACACACCCATGTATTTCTTCCTCAGCAACTTGTCCTTCGTTGACATCTGCTACTCTTCCGCAGTGGCTCCTAAGATGCTCACTGACTTCTTCCAGAAGCAGAAGACCATATCATTCTTGGGCTGTGCTGCTCAGTTCTTTTTCTTTGTCGGCATGGGTCTAACTGAGTGCTTTCTCCTGGCTGCTATGGCATACGATCGATACACAGCCATCTCCAGCCCTCTGCTCTACACTGCCATCATGTCCCAGGGCCTCTGTACACGCATGGTGGTTGGGGCATATGTTGGTGGCTTTCTGAGCTCCCTGATCCAGGCCAGCTCAATATTTCAGCTCCACTTCTGTGGACCCAACATCATCAACCATTTCTTCTGTGACCTCCCACCAGTCCTGGCACTTTCTTGCTCTGACATCTTCCCCATTCAAGTGGTGAATTTCATCGTAGTGCTCACTGTTGGGGGAACATCATTCCTCATCCTCATCATCTCCTACAGTTACATAGTGGCTGCTGTCTTGAAGATCCACTCAGTTGAAGGCCAAGGGAAAGCCTTCAACACATGTGCCTCACACTTGATGGTGGTGACTCTGCTATTTGGGACAGCCCTTTGCATGTACCTGCGACCCAGATCTAGCTACTCCCTTGGCAGGGACAAGGTGGTATCTGTGTTCTATTCTCTGGTGATCCCCATGCTGAACCCTCTCATCTACAGTTTGAGGAACAAAGAGATCAAAGATGCCCTGTGGAAGGAGTTGGAGAAGAAAAAAGTGTTTTCCTAGTTCCTGATTGAAAACATATTTCTTTAAACTGCCAGAGACATAAATGACCCATGGTATCTACCTCCACCTCTGGCTTAGGCAAGCGATGCATTTTGTGTGCATATTTGGAAATAGAGGTCCTCCTGCTGGATTCTTCTCACTGTTCCTCGTCGTCATCTGTCTACTGACCCCACCATAGAAAGCCAAAAAGGGGAAGGGATTACTCTAGAAAAGAAAATCTCCCCAGGAGAGCCTATTCTGACAATTGGGATTATAACAACCACCTTTTATTAGGTGTTTAATATGTACCAGGCACAAGAGCTATTTAATTAATACTCATTGCAGTGCTACAATGCACATAGCACTATCCCTATGCTACAAATGAGGAAATGAGGTCCCAACAGGGAACACTGACTTGCCAGGGTCCTACAGGAAGTAAGGGGCAGAACTCCCATTCAGACTCAGGTCTTCCTGTCTCCAGAGCCCATGATCTGCCCAAATTCTGCCTTCCACATTTGACAACGAACAGCCCAAAAGTTGTCAAGTGTATAACTCTTATTACTAGCGTATGGTAGAATCCAAAAAGATACACTATGTATAGTTGAGGTACATTACAAAACAAGAGGCCTACTCCGTTAAACACTTTCTCCAAGATATCCCTGCTGGATTCCCATTATGGCTACTGAATAATTTGTTAAGCAAATACTGAAGGATGTTACCCTTTGCTGCCATTTCTGTCTCGGGTGTGTAGGGGCCTGGAAAATTAGAGTCCAATGGTATCACATCAATCCTCTTCTCTTCCCAGTCTCAGTCACCTAAAGTGCCTGAGACTTGGCACTTGGTCTGTGTTTCCTTTATTTCAACCACGTCATTCCCTTACCGGTTCAGCACCTGACTCCATTTCACAGCTCTCTTTTGATCACCACACTCTGAGTTTTTCTTGCTCTGTTCTATCCAAACCAATTGCTCCTATAAAATCTTTGCTTCTTAACCTGAATGTATTAGTCCTTACAGCCCCACATTCAGTATGATTTGCCATTATCTCAGGGAGTTATATCTCAGGTCATCACCTCGAGGTCATTACTCCTTCATAGAGGACGTTTAGAGTGGAGTTGTCCAGCAGAACCATTTCTGCTGGTAAATCCCTCTCTCATTCCTTTACGGCTCTGTCCTCTTCCCAACACACTCACTTTTCCATTAATGTGGGTCTACTGGACATGCAAAAAGACTTTATTTGATTTCATTTTTCATATAAGTGAATTAACTACTTTCTTCATATCTGGAAGAGCATAAACAATGCAGGGGAGGAGTGATCTCTGTCTCAGCTATCCTGGGTTCCTCAGTCTCCTAAATCCATCCTCCTCCAAGGTCAGGCAAACTTAAAGTGACCCATACAAATAATACCCAACAGTATTACCTAATGGACAACTTTTCCTAAAATTCCTTTATCAGTAAGCTTTATGAATATCAGGACATATCTTGCATTGTACTGGAAATTCTGGGAATCATTTTTATTGATGGATATTATATCCAGGACACTTCTAGTTTTCTGCTTCCTCAGCAGGCTGAGTATAATGTGAGGGAGCCTTTAGGGTTATTTCAGATGTAAGATCTAATGACAGGGCCAGGTTGGCCAAGTGGAGCAGATTTGGAGACATAGGAATAGATGATTTCTTTGAAGTTTAGAACTGACATGCTTGAATTCTCATATATTTCAATCCAAATAAATAATTTTGATTAAGTAGAATTATTTTTTCTTCCTAAAGGAAGTGATTCAATTTATGAAAATCATGGAAAAGGTTTAGCTTAAAGGAAAACTACAAATTATTTAATATCAAATCATTTTACCTTCTTCTCCTTCTTTAAAACATACATACACCCTTTGCTTTTCCTCATCTGCTTTATTTACCAACCCATCTCAGTTCATATACCATAGACCCTCCACCTGACCTCATGAGAGAGCTTTACATGTAAGCAGAATAAAATGTGGCCTCTACACAGTTCACTCTGAGGAATCTGAGTGTATTGGTTTACTATCACTGCTGTAACTAATTATCACAAATTAAGTGGCTTAAAACAACATAATTTTATTATCTCACAGTTCTGTGGGTTAGAAGTTTGACAGAGGTCTCAGTGGGCTGAAATCAAGGTATTAGCAGGGCTGTGTTCTTTTCTGGAGGCTCTAGAATAGAATCCATTTCTTTGCCCTCTCCAGCTCCTAGAGACCACCCACATTCTGTGGCTCATGGTCCCCTTCCTCCATCTTCAAAGCCAGCAATGTCACATCTACCCTCAGCTAGGAAAGGTTCTCTGCTTTTAAAGACTCTTGTGATTACAATCATGCACGGCATAACAACGCTTCATTCAACAACGGACTGCATGTACGACAGTAGTCCCATAAGATTAGTACCATATAGCCTAGGTGTGTAGTAGGCTATACCATCTAGATTTGTGTAGGTACACTCTGTGATGTTGACACGACAAAATTGCCTAACCATGCATTTCTCAGAATGTGACCCCATCATTACAGGACACTTGACTGTAGATTGGGCCAGCCCAGATAATCCAGGATAATCTCCCCATTTCAAGGTCCATAACTCAATCACACCTGAAAAGCCCCTTTTGCATGAAAGACAATCTATCCCACAGGCTCCTGGGATTAGGAAGTAGGCATTTTGGGGGACCACTGTTCTACTTACTTAGCTCTTTTAACACTTGATGTCACTTTATTGACTTGAGTTTATGAGGCCAGCTCTCAAGAACATTCATAAACTCTCCATTGCCCTCAAGTTAAAGTCTTTAACATGCATTACAATGTACATTTTGCTTCATGTTATAGCCCTGCTTACCTTTCCAACTCTTCACCCCCCGTCCCCCACTACATCTCTCCTAGTACTTCGGAATCTGGGCAGCACACTGTCACCAAGATTTTTTTTTTTCCTCAAGCTCTTTGTACAAGGAGTTTCCTCCTTCCTCCATAATCTTTTTACCTAACTGATGGTTTCTCATCCTTCAGCTCTCTGCTCAGACAGCACTTCCTCCGTGAAGATTTGCCCACCCCTTTCCCAAACCCAAGATATGGTTTACCCAATTGTTGCATTAATATTACTGTCTGTAATCACTCATTCTATTGTGTGTACCCTACACTATACTATAACTTCCTTAAGGACAGAGACAGACCCTGGTTCACTGTTGTTCTTCTAGAACCTAACACAGTGTCTGACACATAGAAGACACATAATGAGTATTTGTTTAATAAATGAACAATCCATTGTTTACAGTAATTTTGGCTTTTGCTGCATGTAGTGCTTATATTGTTGCCTTGTGGTATGGCTAACAAGGCTTCTTGTAGACTTGTTTCAACGAAAGAGAGAATGAACAAAATTAGACCCCTTTTCCCATCTATTATCCTTCAAAAAAATTTTAAGAGAGATTTTAATTAAACTGCTAATCATAACAATTCAAAAATTTGGCAGTACTGGTTACATTAAATGTAATAGAAAACTAGAGATAGTTAAAGAGAAAAATAAACACCAGAGTATCCATACAAATAAAACACCCTGTACATCAATCCTCAACCCCTTTCCATCTTCGCTATCCCTAGGCATAATTTCTTTCAATTTACACAAAATTACTTCATTACAGTGAAAGACATACTACCGTCTTTCTGGCTTTAGTAGGCTTGAGTCTTCATCAGATGTCAATCACTCATTTCCCTAATCTGAGAAATCGAACCCAGTTTGAGCCTGAAGACAAGTATGAACCTCTGCTGAGACTTCTTCAGCCTCTTCTGCCTCCTTCCTCTCTAATCATAGATAAAGGGAAAAAGAGACCATTGTTTTATCACAGTGTGAATCCACTGTTTCCAGAACAAAACACTCTGTGAAGATTAGCTTTCTCCCTCTCCTTCAGAAATCTTCCATCTTTGAAATTTAGCTCTGTCTCCTTAGAAATTAGAAGCTGACTTAAATTGGTTAAAGTACAAAATGATTTTATAAAATATTTACAAACTCAATTTTACCAGAAACACTTTCTAGAACATGTTTAAATAAAGTTTTTAAGCAGAGATAAAAGGTCTCCACTTATTTATTTTTACTCTTTCTAGTTTCAAAATATTTTAGGATGACTTCAATATGCATGCACTGAATAAAATAAAGCAAAAAAAATTGAACAGTTATATGCTTTTAAAAAAGTTGAAATGCTACAGGGCAATTAGAAAATATAGAGAAATATATATGTAGACTTGTAATAGAAAAGATCTTTCTAAACTTAATGCTAAAAGCAAAACCATAAAGAAAAAAAGGGCAGGTTTTACTACACGGTGTTAAAAATCTATATGGCAAACAAAACACGAAGAAAATCAGAGGACTGATGTTTAACCAGGGAAAATATGTGTGCAACATATGGTAGACAATAGTTTATATAAGTCTCTCTTACAAACAAAATTAGAACAAAATAAACTAATAGAAAAATGGGCACAGTTATGAGCAAGCAATCACAAAATGGGAAATAACAAATGGCTAATAATTTGATGAGAAAATACTCAACAGTACTAATGTTCAAAGAAATGAAAATGCAACTGTGAAAATGTTTTTCCTATTAAAAAGGCAAATGTTAAAAGTAACTAATACCAAATGCTAACAAACGTACAGAAAAATAGGCCCTTTCATACACAGTTGGTGAAAATATAAATTGTACTGTCTTTCTGAAGATCAGTTTGGCAATATGTATCAAAAATCATTAAATGTACATGCTTTTGCCTTAGCTATTGCCCCTTCTAGGAATATATTCTAAAATGTGCGTATATGTCCAAGGATGCTCTCACGGTGCTATGCCTGATGGTGAAAATTGAAGCAAACTTGTAGTGCTTGAAAATGATTCCCTGTTTTCTAACCTAAACATCTTTCTTTCCCTTAATTGGCCATAATATGAATCAAAAATGAACTTCTCTCTACCTTTTCGCTGTTTGAGCTATTTAATTTGAAAAGTCCAATTCTGTGCTCTGTCATGAAGCAAAAGTGAATTAAAAATTTTATATGTATGTTAAATTAAAATTTATATTAAATTAAATGTTCAATTAATATTATTAAAATT